TTAGGATCTATGCTGCCGCTCTCATCTACCTCCCTTTGTTAGAATACTATGACGCAGTGAATTTAATCTTATTTGGTAAAGAATGATAATATGCCTTTTGAATTGAATAAAGATATGGAGCTATAAATTTAAATTCTTCTGTGTCATTTCATGCCAAGCTTCATTCATGTGCCCGACTGCCAAAATATTATATATATATATTACATATTGAAGTTTTATTCCTTTAAATTCATAATTTAGATGCAAATAATATTATGCATTTACTATAATGAAGCTTTCCAATATTTTCTGAAAGAGTAAGTTTGTAAGATTTCTTAAATAAAATCTCCTTTTTGGAAAACTTTCCACGTCACTCTCCACGGAAATACTTAATCTGGTGAGATTAGAAAGCATTTCTTATACTGACATTTTATATTTAGTTACATACAAATGCTAGCATTTCGCTCTTGCATCTTTGTAAGAGGTTTAACAGCGGCCGAGTACTAAAGTGTTTGAACACTGATAACTCTATCCGAGGCTTGAATCCCGGTGAACAGGCTGGTTGCATGGACGCTTTTCGTGTATAAGAACAAGTTTCTCCTAGAAAGTCCTTCACGAAAGCATACCTCCCTTTAGGCAGATAAGCCCTCGAGTGCTTGGCATAACCAAACAATCCATTTTTCTACTGTCTATGATTATTATATTCACTTTTAAAGTAAAATATCTCGCTCACCTTTTTATCGTACGGGAGTGAAACATTTTGTATTTTTCTTATGATAAGTATAAAACTTTCTTAAAGAAAAGTATAGGGGCTTGGAGAATGTTAAAATATTAGGTTTTGTGATTTTAACAAAACTGATTTTTTTTTTTAATTTAAATATTCAAAAAAGATGAATATTTTCTTTGAAGTATTTTAGTGACTGGAAGTATATGTATACGATCAACTTTTGCGAAATTAATTGAGCGGGTAAAGACTTTTGTAGTCACGATATATATTAAAAATTATATGTAAATATTCCAGCTCTTTATTTATCATAATATCCATTTATTTTTGAGTCATACAATTTAGTTAAAGAAAGAAATTAAAAGAAAACAAAATATGAAAATTCAGATTTATTTTTTTAATACTCGAAACAGGTCTGTCGTTTTAAAAAAATTCTAAAATATTTTGCTTGATTTTCTTATCATATGCAACTATCTTTATAGCATAATATGGAAAACTAATAAGTATTTTAATTCTAGAAAAAAAGACAGAATATTTCATATCTGCATGATGGGCTTTTAATAGTAAGCCGTAATATTTTATCCGTTCTGTTTTTAATTTTCTTCTTCTTTTATAGGACGTGATAGTTTTAAAACTTGAGCTTTTCTGTTCAACGTAAGCTGAAGCATCGTAACTTCGATAAGGGTTTTAACACATTTTTTTTATGTGCCGTCTTTGGAATAGGACGTCGCTAAATCTCAGTTCCAAGCAGAAAGCTTCCATCATTGGCCAAGTGGTTTAAGCAGTGGTCACAAGCTTGCGGCTAGCGGACCCCATGCGCCTCCAGAAGCAACTTTATCCGGCTCGCAAATACATTTCAACTAAGTATTTGATGCAAAATTTCAATATTTTAATTACTTGAAGTGTGAGTTTTCACTATTGTCATTGCCATTAAAAACGAAAGTAAATAACATCCATAAATAAAATCTATAAATGTAACTAATTAATTTAAAGCTTGATATAAGTCGTATTCAAAGATTCGAAGATATAAACTTGATTGATATTTATTCGTACTTGTCAAGAGATAACCATACTCAGTTACGAATTTTTGCACTAAGAATAATTGTTTTGCTTGGGAATACTTGCGAACAGCGTTTTCTCAGAATTGAAAATTAATAATAAATTAACCCTATTGATTGATGAACGTCTACGATCCGTGAAGAAGATAATTTCTAGTAATTTGATTTCCAAGTATACGAATTTTATCAGAATAGAAATGTCAGTGTCAAGCTGTGGTAAGAAATTAAGAAGTTTATAATCATTTACATACAAACATATGTAACTTTTTTTAACGAAGAAAATTTTCATGAATGAGAGACTGAGACAAAGTTGTCATAATTTATTCCCAAGTCTTTTCCCACTTAGAAAGTTTTCTCTGAAAATATAAAAACGTTTCCATAATTTATTTATTTTTAGTTTAATTTAAAGTAAGTTATTTAATGGTTAATTGACATTTCAAATAAATGCCAGCCTGAAAATTTAATATTTAGTTTCCAATATATTTGAATTACAGAGTGTAACCAATAGAAATTTTTCAAAAATATAAATAAATATAAATTTGTATTTTTGCAATATAATCGTTTACATATGTTTTGATAAATGTCAAGTAATTGAACTAACAAGTAGTTAAAATATTTTTGTTTTGTTGACCAAAACGTTTCAATTTATTAAAAACGTCTGCCCCATATGCTTATTGCGTTCATATCGAGCATTCGGCCCGCATGTAGTTTGATATCACTGGTTTAAATTACGAATAGATTTTACTTCAATACGTGTTTGTTCTTAAGGGCTCAATGGGTTGGCTGTAATAGGATTTTGTGGTTTTCTTTATGAGTAATGTATCGTGTTAACGCGTATAAGAAGCTTGTTTTTATAAACACTTTTAATCTCAATATGCTATTACAAGTAAAGTTTAAAATGTTTCTATCACATTACAAGTAATAATCTTTGTATTAAATCTATGAGAAAAAAACATATGGAAATATTCTTAACTGTAGTGTTCTTTAAAAAAATTTCATATGGTGCACAATTTTAGGAACAAACACAATTAAAAATATCGTACAGTATTAATCACTGAATCGTGTCGGTTAGGGAACTTTGTAGGCTATAACTTAATTGCGATTTCATTACAAAAATAACGAAAAGTAGAGATATGAAAGGAATTAAGGGGAAAATGACATTTATTACTCAGCTCGCGCAAGATCGTTTTAAGACTTAGGTCTGTCAGAAAAATTCAGTACCTTTAAAATCAAAAACGATTGAATTTTTATGTAAAATTTTACATCTTGCATACAAACCCCTTTTTATTTTCATGCACATCTGGTTTCCCATCTAAATTACTTGTACATATTTAGAAATAAATCTCATTCATTTCGCGGATAAGTTGTCAAGATAGTGAAAGTAGATGTAGACTTGCAATCACTCATTTTCAATATCTGATATTTTATTAATTAAATCACAATTAGTTTTATATAAAGATGTTCTGTAAAGATTCTAGCAGAGAGCATTTGCCGCTAAGTTATTATTTCACATTTTCATGATACTCGTAAAAATCTTGATAGTTATTATTGATGGAACTAATGAACTTAACTTTTATAATGCTGGTTCATAAAAGACATTCTCGATCATGTGGAAAACGTAACATTTATCACATTCTCTCATTAGAAACTTGATTCTAAGGTTGTTTTTATCGGGTGATCCAAACGTTGCGCATATAAGACTTTCAAAAATTGCAGATGTTTCAAATTGAATATTAGTGGCAAATTGTTTACATTAGGTTACAAAAAATATATCACTTGACATTGCAGTTGCAGTTAACACTCTTAGATTTAGAATCGTTTGTTTGGCGTATGATGGAGATTAATTCTTCCCCAGCAAAACGAATATTTATGTTTGAGTATCATTTCGTAACACATTCTTACGAAAACGCTGTTGAATCATTTATTGATGTTCGTGCACGGTAATAAATTTTCGCTTGGCAACCTGATTTTGAGAATATGAAAGCTTTCATTGTAAGAAATTTTCTTAACACTCTTTGCTGGTGACTGTAAAACTTTATTTCTTACTTCGTCCAATTTGTCTAACCTCGGAAGAGACGAGAGGCCATTTCATTTTTTATTCTTCCACTTTCTCAAAATCAGGTTACCAGTTGGAGAATCGTTGTCTCGTTAGGTTCGCGAATATCCAGGAGAGTATCTTAACTTAAATAAAACACTTCAATAAAATTTCCATAAGAATGCTTCGCGTTGTAACATTCCACCATAAAATTTCGTTCTGCTTGGGGAAAACTCATTTTCATCTTACACAAAAAAAAGGCTTTTAAAGCAAACAGCAACAAAAAAAAAAAAAAAAAAAAAAAAAAAAAAAAAGCTTTTAAAGCAAAGCAAACTGCAACCAAAATGTCACGTGATATATTACATGTGACAGTATAAGGGTGTCGTCCATTGAAATTATTCGTACCCAGTTTGATGTGTACTTGACGTTTTGATCCCCTGATATTATTTGTAATAAATTTTAAAGTTATGTTTTTTGAATCTACATGAACTTGATTTTCTTGCTACTCGTTCAAAACGCACTTGCTGCGCGTTCGTTTAATCACGTATCTGTAACCACTGTGATTGTTGTCAGAAATCATCAATGTATCTTAATCATTTTTAATATATGCAAATATTAAATAAAACACACACAGAGAAAAACTATTGAAATTACTAATTTCTTTTGCAATCTTTGGAGTTTGAAATGTGAGTTACAGATTTCTGTTTGTGCTCAATTATAGGACAGATATAACACAACGAATAAGATTAAATAAAACTTTGTCCTCTTGATTGGTATAACGGTTGGCATTGCTGGGTAGCGTACCATTCAGCCTACGCTCGAATCATGGCTTGGATGTTTATGAGGGTACAGTGTTTTTATGTCGCACTCAAACTATACAGCAAGGCGAAATTTATCTTCTATGGCTTGGTGGCAGGAGGAGAGAAGTTAAGACACCTTTGAAATTGTGAGATGGAGATGTTTTCTCAAAATTGGGATGGAGCTGGATAAAGACGTACTCTAAGGTGCTCAGCCATCATGCCAACACAGAAGCAAATCTACGCTTGTTTCCACCATAAAATTCGTGGATTTATACTAATGTTACTGTCAGGCAAAGACCAAACAAATGTAACTGCCTTAACAATATCTTCATCAGAGGCATTTTGGATTGGCGTATTTTAGCCATTTAAACTCATATGAAGATAATGTGCGTCTGACAACTTACCTGGCTTCTTTTTCAACCGCTTCGGCTGGTGGGAGATCGGATTGTGAGGAAGGAGTAGGGCTGGTCTGGGAATGGCCGCTATTAGCGTCATTGCAGAAACCACTGTCATTGCTGCTGTGGAGGGAGGCAGACGTGGGCAGGTTAGGTGGAGGCACTGAGATGGGAAAAGGAGCAGTCAGGGACCTCCTTGGCGATCGGAAGATTTGAGGCGTCTCCTGCAGCTCTTTCAGAGGTGGATGGTGGAATTTGATGGAAGCATAGGTAGGATTTGCAGCAGGTGCAGCGGTCGGGTGGTTGGCATCATGCAGGGGTGTTCTAGGCGGCTGTTTGGATTTCACTGGTGTTGCCTGAAATGAGTGATATTTACATACATTATGACAAGACGTTTTATTCATTTGTGCATTCATTGTCCATATGAACGTTTTTCTCTAAGGATATATTTTTGAACGTAACTGAAAATATGTTTATATCAGTAAAGAATTAACAACAACTTCATCAGAGTTCGTTGCCCATATAAAGATTTTTTTCCTAAGCTTATATATTTTGAAGGTTATTCAAAATATGTTTATATCCGTACAGAAGGATCATAAGAAATTAGTTACAGATATAATGTACTTGGAAACAGATAGAAAGCTACAAATACTGAAGTATAACAAAATTCGACTTAACTCATAATAGACATCAATTAATGCGTAACAGCTGCCGATAGAATTAAGAGGGAGGTTAAATTTTCCAAAATAAGTCGCTCCGTGAAATAATCTTAAGTTGCATATTAAAACTCTGAAATAAGTAAAAAGAAAGCTAATTACGAATGTGGTTAGTCTTTTTGTGATATAATCATTTCGTAAAATCATTGCCATTTCATGTAGTTCTTGCCATAAAATGTAATTAAAATTATAAATAATGTAACAAAAGCTGTACAATGTCTCTTTTCTCCACTTTTCCTGTTTCTTGATGCGGCTGCGAACTAATTTTCTCAATCTTCTTTAGATGCTTATTAAAACATGTAAGGGGAAAGTAACGATTTTTTGCTGGAGATTTTTTTATGTTTGTTCGGAGTATTTTAGCTTAGCATTTCATATGATCACAGTATTTCACAGTTTCAATTATCAATATTTTTTAATTGAATATATTATTATTTTAAGTCTAGAGTATCTAAATAGATATCAAATGAGACCGAGTTTAGATTAAGAGATGATCGAATTTATTTTTTTGCGGTTTTCTTTATTCTTTTGTCTGTTATTTCTTCGTCTAGCCATAAGCCACCTTAGCAAAACTGATATTATACTGGTATATTTATTCCCAAACCCGATATGTTTACTATGGGTGTGATTGTAAATTGCTGAATACTTGATCTTTTTACGTTTTCAGTATGCAATGGAAAGTATAAACTAGGAAAAACTTTGGTAATTTCCCAATAAGTGTCTTAAAATACGATCCAGGTCTGCTTAAATCGCTATATGTAAAACATGGCTGTTCTCCAATTAATCTTGATATTTACCAACTTAATCACTGAATTTCATTTAAAATTTGTATACTATATGGAACTGAAAAAATGCAGAAAAACATCAGTAACACCCTAAGTATCCAATTGGCATTATGATTTTGCACAAAAGGTCGTATATGCAAATATTGACTAAATATATGACATAAAACTATAAGTTGGAAGTTCGTTTTAATGAGATTCTTCAATTAAATCTTCTCTTTTAAACATTTCTTATGGAAAGCTTTGTCTGTAGATGTAATCTAAAGTATAAAGTAATTCTTTTAAAAAGAATAATTTTATGTCGAATTTAAGATTGAAATAATTCATGTTTATTCTAACATCAGAGAAAGCAATAAGCTGATCAGATTATATAATATTTGTCCAATTTAGTAGTTTATAATTGAATATTATTATGATAAATGAATAAACGATACACAATTTTATGGACAATAACATTATTCGGTGGTTTTCAATGTGAAATCAGTAGAAATGTTTTAGTTTCTTAAAATTAGTTTTCATATCTTTTTCTCTCTGAATATTCCCTTTCCCACTGAATTAAATACTTTCCTATCTTAGTATACTTCCTTGCAGCTTGAAAGTTTCATAATTACAAATTTATTGTGATTGAGATAAAATTAATTTTTGTCCAAAAATAAAACTGATTTTGAAAAAACAAGATTAGCGAATAAATAATTTAATATCCACATCTTGCGCATTAAAGCATTCATTATCATAGTGTTTGCTCACATACATATGCTTGTATGAAAACCTTTTCTTCACACGTCTGGATATTTTACAGCTGACGTGTTTAAAAGCAAATAGAATGATGGAAAAATCCTGATCAGCAACAGGATTAAGAAATTTCAGGATATAAAATTAATAATTTTTTTATTATATAGTGACATTTTACTAGGACGACCACATGTTCTTCTAGATGATTTTGGTTTTCTGTGAAATAATTTTTTTATTATATGGTGACATTTTACTAGAACGGCCACATGTTATTTTAGATGATTTTGGTTTTCTGCGGAAGATTTTGACTTAAAAAATATGACTGTCAAAAAAGTTCTTTGGCACCCTTATTTAACTGTATTCTCAGAAATTTGCGTCCCTTTTAGAGTTAATTGTGTTAGTAAGCTGGCATATTTAAAAGGCTTTAACTTCTGTGTTTGCATTATTTCGATTGATGGATCTAAGAAATTAATTATAATTACTTAATAATTACTACTTAGTTTTATTTATCAACTTATAATTACTTAATTTTATTTATAGTAAAGGAGCACATGCCCAGCCGAAAAGATAGTACTCCATATTCGAAAAATCTATCCCCGAAATGAATTGAGTTAGAAGAAAATGACCCACTACAAAGCTGTAGAACATCATCTGCGTAATGGGAATCGAAATTATTGCACTATCACACAAAATGTACTATTTGCGCGTTATTTTGTTACATTCTTTTATACATGATGAACAATATTCTGTCAAATATCTGTCATACGCATAAAGGTGTTCATTAATTAATCTGCACAACTCATCGTCTTTACGCATAGACCTTGGACTATTCCAAGTATATCTTTATGTTTAGGCTTATCCATTACAGATTGCTCGAACACCTGAATATCGGAGGTATGTTTTGTTAGAGACATGGGAATAGGCCATTGGTCTTTGGAGGTGGAAAATGAATTGAAAATGATTTTGCCAGTTGGTTTCAGATCGAAGGAAAATTTTGATATGAGACATAGAAGTATCTCTGACTAGTTTTTGATTTTCTGATTTTGATTTCGACTGCTTCTGATTTTGATCTTGATTGATTCTGATTTTCTGATTTTGACTTTTAGCGATTTTTGTAGCAGAAAGTGATTACACTCGCTGTAAAATATTATCATCTCATACATAATCACAAGCATAGGACGTCATCATTAGCTCCAAGATAATCGCACGTCTTATGCTGGCGTGGATATTCCAGATTTTGTGCCCTATCGCATACAGAGATAATAACGTTCTTGATTTGGCAGTATTAAAAATTAGAGAACTTTCTATGGCTTTGACTTCTAAGCTTTATGATTCCATGACTATCTAAGCTTAGACGGTGATGAAAAAAGCAAGTAGTCTAAAACGTTAACACGAGATACCTGTCTTAGACATATATTAGACATATATCTGACGACGAATATAGGATCATTAATGTGAGTGCATTTTTGGATGTTGATTCATAGTAATGTAATGCTACTGTACAACATTATAACTGATCATTTTAATAAAGCGTGCTTCATAATGGGGGTTATGTCTCATTAATTAATTATCTTTTCTTTTTTGCAGGGAGCACTGGAATTGCATTTTTTAATTGGGTATATCCAATTTACGCTTACTTTACGATAAACGTGAAGTACGCTGTCTACTATGAAAAAGGATCCTTCGGACTTCCCACTACGTCCTTTTGGAAACTGTGCATGTTAATATTGCATGTATATTTAAGCTAAAGTAATATTGTAAAGGATTCTCCCTCCTCCTTACCACTTGCCTTGGTGGTGTAATTGGGAGCCCATCCGACTCACATTCGGAAGGTTCGGAATTAGAGTCCCGATGAGGGCATTGCGGATGTCTCACGCTATAAAATCTAAAATAAACATAATCACTCTACAAATGGCGTCTGAATTAAAATATCACCAGTGAAGAAGAACGTACACTTAACGCGTACCTTTGTAGAGTAATTGGAAGCCTGTAAGGCTAGCAATCAGGCTGTAGGGAGTTCGAATTCTGGCAAGGGCACTGCGGATTTCTTCTATAACCTGCTCTAAAACGTAATCATTCTATAATGTTTAAAATCAATATAATGTTTTCTTTCCACTTGCTGCATTAAAAACCTGAATACCCTTATGAATACAAGTAATCTCTACAGAAGTTACATAATTATTTGATTTTATTGCTAGTATAAAAGATAAATAAATTAATATCGGTCTAAACTCTGTACTGCATTTAAATTTCATTTGTTGCTCATCATGAAAAGTAAATTAAACAGACATCTATCTATCTATCTCTCTATATAGAAAAGGATATACTATCTCCCTCTCTCTATATATAATATATATAATGGCCATGCAACTATAACTGTAACGTTCACGCGCCATCTAGATGAGCGCTCAGACTAGATGTTTACGATGACGAATGCAGATGCGTACTGTAACATTCTTTTTTTCCTTTCCTTTTCATTTTTAATGTATGTAAATACGTAGCAGTTTAATAATAACTCGAGCAGTTTTAGTGATTAGAGATGATTATTAGTGATGTTTCTCCTATATATATGTATGTGTGTGTGTGTGTAAGAAAAATAAAGAATATGTAAAAGATTAAATTAGCAGAGTAAATTAATTTTCCTTCTCCATTCTAAAAGTAGTAACCTCTATTTGCACTGCGTTATTTCGAGACTATTCTATGTCATATGATTCTTACGTAATTCGGATGATGTAAATGGTTCTAAAACTAAAGCAGCCAATGGTAATTTTACAGCAATATTAACTATCCAATCAAAATGGATACAGAACCGAAACTAACTCAGTCTGAATTAAGGTTTCACCCTGAATATAACGCATTTGCCTTCAAAGCTTCGGCCTAGCTGGACTGCTGTCTGTCTGTCCTCCTATCTTACTGCACATTTATTAAAAATGTAAACCTCTTGGAATAGGCACAATTAATGTGCCAACTTGATTGTGGCTGCAATATGTTTGCTAAAATAAAAAATGAAGATTTAATCTGCCTTCGCATCCAATTTCCTATTCATTATGGATCAACACTTCTACGCCATCAAAGTTTCTGCTCGTCATTACTTTTAGGTTTGTTTCTTATCACATATATATGTTACGG